CTTCAGAAGATTCCCGCTTCTCTCCCTCCCACACCTCTCCGTACAACAAAGGCAGACCCGCACCCACCCTCCGCCGGTACATATGATAAGGCTTTGTGCGCGACGCGGGCGGTTAGTGAGTGTCTACGGGAGAAGCTGAATTTGCCACACAGCAGGAGCTCTGCCGTGTTGTGCTCATAAGGGCGTCGGCGGTGCCATAGTGCGTGCCTCCGCTCTCCGCCGTTGGATCTGCACCCCGTGTTTGATCTCGTGAGTTGGTACAGGTAAGTTTATGGGACCGAGTCTTCGCTAGATTTGGCATCTGTCTCCCCCGGGGGCGCGTTTACCTTTTTCTCTGCTGGTGGTGGTCGTATTTTTATTTTGATCACGCCGGGTTGGCAGCCCAACCTGCCTTTCAACTCTAGTGAAAAATGCGCACTCCTTACCTTTTTCTGCGACGTGTGGGTTTGTAACACGCGAGCAAAGGACGTCCGACAGCAGATGTCGGGTTATTTGCAACACCTTTGACAAACTCATCTATCTCCTTTGTTTCTGGATTGTTGCCTTGCGGTGCAAATGTTGGAATCGAGAATGCCGTCCGGGCGTTCGCGTAGACAAGCGTGGCGGAATGTTGGAAACTAGATGTTCAAGAACCAGGAGGCGAGAATTCCCGCTCCGTTTGCACCGGAACGCTTTTGTCAAGTGAAAGGTCGAAACGTTACAAAGTGGGAGAATATGGATTAGGATCCAGTCAACCATAGACACTGGGGACGGTGTGATGAAAAAAGGAAAAACACGACGGAACGTATGGGACAGCTAGCAATTGCGGGCACAAACATGAAGACCTCATTTGTAAGTTCTCCGTTGTCAGCAGGTGGAATGCATTATATATGGTCCTTTCGTCTACAGTACAGAGTTGCGTGTAAGATGCGATTTGGGCAAGTAACGAACGGATCCCCGCCCCCGCGCTATCATGATAACCCTCCTTCCGCAACCAAGATGATTTTGGCTGGGGAGGACAGCGTGATGGCGGCTACGGTAGCGGTGGCGAAAGCCGTAGGCGCATCATCGATGGCGGCGGCGGCGGCGGGTTCAGGGGTAGCCGCGGCAGCGGCGGGGGCGGCGGGGGCGGCGGCAGGAGGGTAATATCTTCGAAGCCCCTTGTTCGCAAGATTGGAGGAGGAGGGGGG